ATTCTAGGTTAAAAGGAAGCGCAAGGGAACAGCACATTTCCATGATTTTTCCTTTTAATCCTCTTCCGACATGCCCTCTGATAACACTGGTTTGGGTCGTGTAGAGATAAATAAGTCATAAATACATTCTGATAAAAGATAACTTAAAACTGTCTCACTATAAATAAATGCATATCCATCTAGATATAGAAAATGAAGCTTCTTGAGCCGGTGCACATCATGCCTTATGAGTCAGACACTTAAAAAAAAAACTGCAAACAGACATAGTTAGAAATTACCATTTGAATCACTATAAACAACATTTATGAAAATACAGCAAATAAAACCGCTTCACAATACTGATCAGACTCGTGTGTGTTTACTTCAAAGTACGATGAAACTACACAAATGAAATAAAAGAGAATGATTCAGAGGAGGACGGTTCCATAGTCAGCAGCAAGTATGTCAAAGAATTTTGATTTGGGCTAATTTATTGGAAAAAAAAAGATTTTACTGTACTTGAACAAACAAAGAATAATTAACATTACACTGGTTTCACAGCATGAAATGGATGTAAATTCTGGCAGGTTGACAGACTGAAAATCATTCCATCAGACCTCTGGTGCGGTCAGATATACGTGTGCATGCATCTGTACATGAGAGACAGGCTTGTGTATATATGCCATCTGGCAGAGGCGCCTCACACCCTGAGCTACCCGTCCCTGTGTGTCGGATCAGAACCGGCGGACCGTGGATCCAGATCATTGCTTGTACCAAATACCACCCAAAATAAACACACATGCAGCACCAGAGCACAGATGCTATGAGAGAACACACTAATTGCAGTCTGTGGTTGTCAATCAAGCCTCCACCTACCCACCCCCTCCTCCATTATCTTTCTTTTTAGCATCTACTCTCCCTTCCTCGTGCCCCATGGAGATCCCCAGTCCCTCCCTCTCTCCACCACCTACTGGGGACAGCTGAGAACAATCTGGGGACGCTTTGAGACATTCATTAAGACTGCAGAAGTTGCTGAAGCTGCATATTTTCTGTGCGGTGGCATCGCTGCGGATGAAGATAGCCTCAGAAAGGTAAAGAGTGATCCAGAAACACTTATTGTTCTGTAAGAATTAGTTTGGTCCGAACAGGTATCAGGGCTCTGAAAGGGTTAAAAGTTGGTGTTGCACTTTTTCCTTTCTTGCCATATAAGCTGGCATATTAAAAACTTCACACAGGTCTATATGTGAAGACTTTAAGGGGATTTATAATAAGAATTTAAATCCCGTCACATCTTTAATGTGTGTTGCTTTTATTATACTACAATCTTTCAATCCCCCTTTTTTCATTGAGTTGATGACTACTGAAAAGATGCTGGAAAGTTTCTTTCCTTCACTTTTACAGGACAGAAAAGACACTTAAAGCTGACGGCTCAGTCTCTGAATTTGCTGCATATGTAGGTATATCTTAAAAGATTATTTTTAGGGGGAGAAAAAACATCATAAATATGATGTGTGCATGTTTATGATATACCTCTTTAGATGCCACATAATCTGTATATTGGGATGTGTTGTGATTGTAATAAACTGTACTACGGCATGATTACTTAAGTTAGTTTTGCAGTACTCTCACAATATTTTTTTTCTTTTTGCATGACTCCTACTGGTCAAGTTATTACATGAATAATCTGACTAAGGTCAATTTCTCTGCCACCTCAAACACTTTATACATTCGACATACTCAGGAGACATAATTGTCATCAGTGCAGACAGAGCGTCTGCATATTTGTGCATGGCATTAAGTAACGGGACGTGGTCATGTTTCCCGTCACATGCTACAGAACTCCACAGGGATTGGAGGCTGTACTCCTCAATGCGGTTGTCTTGGATTCAGTTTCCGGTCTCGAGTCTCCCTGTCTTGCTGGATGTCCATGTACGATTCCATACTGGATTCTAGAGCCTAAAAAAATCTTAAAACGGAAATGCTTAACATTTTCCCGCTCTTATAATATTGATCACAAGTATAGTATCAAAAGATCTTCATCATACTTCAGGGATTTTTACTTTCCTTTTACCGTATTTGTGACAATCTGCAAAGCAAGACTTAATACACTTATCTGATGCTTGAGTTTATATTGTGCAGGATTTGTAAACATAAAAGGGATCAAGACATCAAGAAATTATTGCTGAGCATGACGGTTGTGACAAGACGCAGAATCAATTTACGCTTCTTCAAAACCTCCACTTGAAGCTGGTGGCAGGCAAGAAGGAGCCAAGATGCTAATCGCCTGAAAGATCCTGGTGTAATGCTTTCCCTCCCATTCAGCTCGGCTCTGTCTGAAGCTCTCTTTCCTAATTATCTCTGTAGGACATACATTAACAGACCAAACACAAATGCCATCGAAACTACAATGGTCCCACAGTTGTCATTATCGCAAGGCACTAATTGATCTTATTAGCTGGTTACAATAAGGTGCTCCTAATAAGTAGCTCCAAACATTTTAAATTTGCATTTATAGATATAAGCACGTAATGATTTGCTATGAAACTTTTTATTTCATTTGTTGAAGACCAGTGTTAGTGACACTCCTGTTGAAAACTACTAAAAGCATGACATGGATGGTGTTATTAAAATCGTGTCTTATTCTGCTAAAGGCAATATCTTGTATTTTCCTGTTTTGTGACCCAGACTCACCGATCCATCGCTTTCGGTTCATTCAGGAACCGTCATGAAAAAAGAAGAATCTCTGGAGTGAAATCTTAGATTTTTAACACAAATAATATGGCATAATGTTGTGAGATTGTAGCAGGTAAAGCAACACAGAGGCTTTTAAAAAAAAAAAAAACATATACATATGTGCATGTTAAGCTAAATTAAATCAATGAATAAGTACAGTCTTACATGTGGTCCAAAATGAACTATAAATAGAAAACAATCTTTGCGGCAAAAATTCACCCAATCTGATGGAAGTTAAAAGTTTAAACTAAGTTTTAGAAAGCAATTATTTTAGTTGGATTTGGATTTCGGCACACATCCATGTGGCAATATTAGTTCTTTCAGCCAAGGCTTTTCAATGAATTCTTCAGAGACGGTGTTAGAAAATGCAGACAGAAGTTAATAAAAGTCTAATCAAAATAACTTCCAAAGCTTTGGCTTCTTTCACTTTCTAAATGAGATCAAAGCAAGAGTCGAAACCATTTAGGAACGTGCAACATCACAAAGAGAAACAACAACAACAAAAAAGAGAAAGTGTAATGAATGGCCAGCCAACAAACAAATAAAATAATGGGAGAAGAATAAAAACAGAGCAAAGAGGAGGGATAGAACAATCCACCCGGGACGCTTCGCCTTTATTGTCTTGCCTCTTCTTTCATCTCATGTATTTTTGTTTCTTTTGTTTATTTCTCCATTTGAGACATTTAGTTTCTCATGTGTTGTCCAAAGGGGCAGGATGTTGGGGGTTGCTTTCCAGGGGGTCGACTTATTATCATGTGTCGAAAGTGGGTGTAAGTGTGTGAGAGTCCTTGTTTGTGTAATTATGCTCTCCACATTTCCATATTTGAAATGTGCTGAGCTATAATTGGCTTGATGATGTGAACAATTGTTGATTAGTCTTTGTTTTTAATTATTACAGTGTCAGAATCTCAGTTTTTGTCAGTCAGACTAGATTGGGAGCGTAGTCAGGCAGCACTTTTGTCAATACCGTTCTACAACTGCGCAGTTTCACGCAGAAGTGAAGCTCATACAGATTCTCTATATGTGCAGTATTTATTTCATTTCTGTTCATTTTGATGATTATAAACACAAACTATAAAAACAAAATTTTGTTCATTACTAATATTGCGTAAGAGCAATGAAAGGATGATAAGTCACAAATAGTCATTGCTAATAAAACTGTTCACAGATTGCTGTAAGGAAGCATAACAATGGAAAGTTGAGCGTAAGGACAAGGTATTGTCAAAAAATGTACACAAACAGCAAATATAAATAGCCTTTAGAGAATTCTGAAACTAAATCGATCCAAGAGTTTGAAGATACACAAGGTGTGGACTCCAACGAAGTCAGATTTTTAAGAGACTCTGTGCAGACGTGTCCAGGCCATGGGCCATAACTGTTACACTCTTTTTGTTAAGCCACTTCTAAACCAGACGACATCAGAAATATGGGCTAGAGCTAAGGCCAGCATCTGGCACGTTTAGGTTCTTTTTCTGGATCACCTCATCTGAATGAAAAGATGGCTTGTTAGCAGGGCTCTACATAAAATTGACTTTCTGAGGAGACATCTACTACCAGGGTGTTGAAACAGAGGTGGATACCGGCAGGATACCGGCCCCTGAGGACTGACTAGGACACCCCTGGACTAAGGAGAAAAAGGCTGACATCTTACTCCAAAGATCTCTTACACATGAAAGCCAGGTTCATCATAAAAATCAGTGTGACAATTTTGGGTGCCAAGTCATCTGCTTGCGCTGGTTTGTCAGTATTCATCCCTCTACTGACAAATGTTATGGAGATTCTCTTTTTTTTTTTTTTTCAGCATGATTTGATACCGGCCTCATTGCCAGTACCTCAATTTCAGGAGGACTATGAAAGACACCAGAGACAACAGTGCAAAAGAGCTAAAGGCTGATATTAAAGTAATTAATTTTACTTTTCAGTGGTATCCTAAATTAGTGACTTGCACCCGTATGCAAAAACTCATTTTTTTTTTTAGTATTAACTCTTTGATTCCTGACAAATCATTTTGGCACTCCATGTGTTTTGTACTTTAACCTGCACCATTATTGCTTTTATCGGTAGGTCAAATGTGGAATTCAATTTTTCTTCATAAATTGGAGAACTACTCCTTTTTATCACCGCACCAAGCTGTCCACTACTGCGACTTGTGAAGAGAGGCTGGTTGTCCAAGGAGAGAGGACGGGCCAACCTGAGTACAGAAATGAAAGGAGCATGAAGAAATCAATTTTGAGCGCGATCTCTTTTTCACCTTCCACTTGGAGAAGGAGGTTGGAGGCAGTGGCTGAAGGGAGGGGAGGATGCGGAGTGATGGGCCTACAGGACACGTTAGGTCAATAAAGAATCAATCAGAGTGGGTGAAACCGCAAGCTGAGAGGAAAGGAGTGCGGAGTCGGCCTCAGCTACTTCATATTATATAGGAGGTTTTGGTACTGGATAATGACCAAACCCTGTAGTGCTGTGCTGCACTAAGCTGCTTTTTTAATCCAGTAACAGAGCTTAACAACATTTTAAATTCCAGTCGGTTGGAAAAAAGTGAATTGTTTTCTTCATGTTGGGAGTGACTCACTTCTCCAAATCAAGTCAAGTTTATTTGTACAGCACATTTCAAGAACGAGCTGCGTTCAAAGTGCCATATGTGATAAAAACAAGACACAATAAACAAACATAGATTATGACATTGCAGTATCAAAATAATGAGAATTAATCAAATGCTGCAATTCAAACAAAACTTAGTCAATGCTCCATCTATTCTTAATTAAATTCAACTCAATCTAAATGGGTTCTTAGCCTTGATTTAAAGCAACTCTGTGTTTCAACAGTTTTGCAGTTTTCTGGAAGTTTGTTCTACATTAAAGGATAAAAACTCCATATTTGGTTCTGATTCTGAGGCTGCAGAGCCAACTATAACCACAAAACCTGAGAGGTCTTTAAGGTTGAAACAACAGCAGGTCGTTAATGTATTTTGGTGCTAAGCCATTAAGTGATTTCCAAACTAATAGAAGTATATCAAAGTGTATTCTCTGAGCTACAGAGAGACAGTGTATGGACTTTAGATCTGGGGTGATGTTTTATATTTTCCTAGTTTTAGTGAAGATGAAAGCAGCAGCATTTTGGATCAGCTGTCTGATTGACCTCTTAGGCAGACCTGTGTTGCTGTAATCAATTCAACTAAAGATAAATGCATTGATGAGTTTCTCCAGATCTTGTTGGGACATTAGTTCTTTAATCCTGGAAATGTTCTTCAGGTGATAGAAGGCTGACTTAGTAATTTTCTTTTGTGTTTCTTGATGCGAGGTCTGCGTCCATCACCACACCTTGACTTCAGGCCAGTTCAGCAGTTTCTTGCTGCGATAGCAATGACGTCTTGTTCCTCTTGAGGCACGAAAATAATTACTTCAGTTTTCCAAGTGGAGACGCTAAAGCATCTAGAGGTGTGGTTCGGAAGAGACGGAAGCCATACCTCGGGTTGCTAGATGTTTTTTTCCTCCATAATGTGGGTTTGTGATTGATTGAGTCCTGCCTCAGGCCAGCCCTCCTTCTGGTGAGGACAAATATGGAACATTTTAGAACATGTGTCTCCCAAAACATGATAAATAAAACTAAGCATTTTAGAAAACGAACACCATACTGAAACACAGTGTGACGATATGTGACACCTGAGGAACTTTGCCAAATCGATGGAAACATTAGTTCTGTTCTCTAACACAGAATACTGTATTTTTTATCTTAACCTCGAGCACATTTAGATTTTGCAGCAGGACAATCAGCTAAAGTGCACCAAGTCCACCACTGAAGCTTTTGAAATTGTCAATTCAAAGTCTGAACTGAAGTCCAATTGAAATTTTGACCTTAAACAGACCATTTATTGTGGAAAGTTCTCAGAAATGGTTGAATTAAATATATTTCTGTCAAGGAGATTGCACCAAATTTCCTTCCCAGCAACAGCAAAGATCACGGCCAGTTAGTGCAAACAGTTGGTTGCAGTTGTTGCCACAAAGGGTGGAACAACAATTGATTAAATCTAGGGTGTAGTCAGTTTCCAGAAAGGATCAGGTTTGGTTTGGTTTTTTTTTTTTTTTTTTTTGTCTCTCGTTAATTGAACTTATAATTTGAGAACTGAATTTTGTGTTTGTTCATAACGATTTTCAGATATTTGTTTGATAATTGTAATTACTGAAGTCTGACAAGAAGGCAAAACCAGAAGAAATCTGCAACAGGGCACCGACTTTGTAACAGCACGTTGCTCCTGCTACTGAACGCCTCCTTATAATTCATGGTAACACAAGGTGTGTTGCCGACCAGATAACACCCAGAATGATTTTTTTTTCACCTTTAAAGAATACAACTTTCTGTTGCTGTAAACATACTTAGTGTTAAGTGTTTACAACCTTTAAACAGTAAAAATCCACTTATTAATCACATGAAATCTACTACTCAGCTCGTTCCCTCTCTGAAAACATGCCCAAGTCACTCTTCATTATAATTTCACTGGATGTGTTGTGACATTCCTGACATGTGAAAAATAATGAGGAAATGGAGAAAGGATAATAAAACAGCCTATGAGAGCTCTGTTTCCTTTGAAAACATTTCTTTGTCTCTCTGCTGGTGATGTACAAAGCTGCCACTTACACAAATAAAGATATCAATTAAGAGGCATAATTGAGATGGCGTAGATATATAAAAATGAATTTCCCAGAGGTGTCCTGGGTAATGAGTTCCATAGAGGTATTAAAGGTAGACGTGTGTCATGGGCCTTGTGAAAAAGCTCTTGTGACACTTGCACAAAGTGATATCGCTTATCTTTTTTTGTTTAATATGTGGATCTTTGTCATTTTTCCAGCCTGATCTTTGAAGAAATGGTTCCATCTGATTAGAAGCTGAATGTTTTCTGGTTTCTGAGAACGACTCGTTTAACAGCTGAATCTTTGGTGTGTGATTTGCAGGAGAGGGCGTATGTTTTGAATAACACAGCTGATGTGTGAAAATATTAGAAAATATTAGCTCATGTATCAAGCATAATTCCTGCATCTCCAGAAATAACTTTATGCAGAAATGCCGTCAGCAAAATATCCGTCAAAGCCTGCAAGGGCAGAATCAAGACTCAATTAATGTCGACTGAGTCTTGGTTAATTATGTCCTCACATAGATATCTCTTCATGTAGCCAGTTTCACTAGTATTTACCTTTATACGATGGGTACTATGGTCTTTATTCCCACAGACACGTACAATGATACCATTAGAACACAAAACTACCTCTTCACTTGCTACCTTATTTATTTCTTACATAGATTTAGTGAGGTGTTGGAAACACCTCAGATTTTGAGTCATGATGATGCTACGATCATTTTGACATGGTACATTATCCTGCTGGACGTAGCGATCAGAAAAAAGGTACGCCTGGATGGACATCATCAAAATCAATCATACAGGTATGACACGTATCAAGAAAATGTCCCCCACACCATTGCACCACCACCAGCTGGACCTAGTGGTTTGAGGCAGGAACAACATTCTTCCAATCTAGTATTGTTCAGTTTTGGTGAGGCTGTGTTAATTTTAGCCTTGGTGTTTTGACTTCTGTTGCTTTCCGTTTAGTCAAAATTGTCTGGTTGATCAGGGCATCAGTTTTGCTGTGTTGATGCACATCGCTCATTAAAAAAAAAAAAAAAAAAAAAAAAATTTAAAAAATTTTTTTTTTGGCAATTTTTTGGGTGGAGTTTAATTTTTTTTTCCTTTTCA